AAAAAAAAAAAAAAGAAAAAACTCAAGGTCTCTCTTCTAAGGAAAAAGTATAAGCAGTGACTAACATTAGCTGAGGTTTAGGTAAGAAGATCACTTATTTTTATATTATATAAACATTGACAATCTATTGATTCTGCATCCAAAGTGAAGTGTAGCTCAAATTCATTCATTTTCGCCATTGCTCTTACCACTATTCTTCACTAAGCTTCCATTGTCCCTAACCAAAACTGTTCCAAGTGTCTGTTAATTGGTCATCCCAAAGTCCCTTTTCCTACAATACATCTGCTACACAGAAACTAGAGTTCCCTTTGGAACTTAAGTCATATTATAAGCATGCCCCAAACTTTTCAATGACTTTGCAGTTTTCTTAGATTAAAAGCCAACTCCAAGATGTAGCCTGCAAGCTTCCCTGAGATCTGGCCCCACCCTCCTTTCAAGCTTCACTTGAGACTATTCTCTCTTGGGCTACTATACTTGTCTAGCCAGGTTCTGACTCATTCTGTGATCCAGCCTGCCTTTGCTAGTCCTTGTAGCTGGAAAGCTCTTTCCTAGTCTTTGCATAGCTGACACTTCTTAGCTCAAGCGTTACTTTCTTTAGTAGACTTCCCTGATCCGGCTCCCAACCTGAAATAGGACTCCCTGGGATTCTCTCGAGGAGCCTGGTAGAGCAGTGGTTAAGCACATAGCTGTTAACAGAAGGTTGGCAGTTCAAATCCATCAGCCACTCCATGGGAGAAAGATGTGGCAATCTCTTTAATCTTATAATCTTTCATAAAGATTACAGCCTTGGAAATACTATGGGGTAGTTCTACCTTGTCTTATAGGGTCGCTATGAGTTGGAATTGACTCAATGGCAGTGAGTGGGGTTGGTTGGGGGTATTCTCTCTTAGCACCTGGGTATTTTTTTTCTCCTTAATAGTACCACATTTCATAATTAGATGTTTGTTTGTTTATTTGTGAAATTCCTGAAGACAGGGACCATGTCTGGTTTTGTTCACTGCTATATATTCAAAGTCTAGAACCATGCATGGCACATAGTTAGCACACAAGAAATATGTGTTGAATAACTTGATAAATTATTTTGAAGCAGATTACATTAAGATTGTTAATGTAAATATTTATCATGTGGTTATTTGGAGAGACCTTATTTAAAAAATTCTCGGTTTTCATATCTTGTAAAATTTCTTTTTTCTCTTCTCATATTAACTTGATCTCTCCCCAAGGTACCTGTAGGCTGCTACCTATATTCCAGATACAGTGCACAGGGAGAAGTGATCAGATCCCAGAGTTAGTCTTGGTAATTCTCAACAATTTAATGGGTAGGGAAAAACATTAGTCTGCCTCTAGGCTATTTTTAAAAGGTCTAATGGAAGATAAGCCGGAGCTCAGCCCGGGACAGAACTCAGCATGGAAAAGAATCCAAGCACTATGCCCTGGTTAGTCAAGGTAGCCTGAGTACCTTTTAACTTACTCTTAGAACTTGGAGTCATATATTAAGTTACCAGAATATAGCTAGAATATTTAGACCATAAGAAGCTTTGCATGTCATGTTTCAGGCTTGGTGAAACACAGACTCTTAATTCCACTTGCTAATGGTTTCTTTTTATAAACAAGTGGTCCGATAGGGTTCAGTAAACAAGGATCTATTCACTCACACTATGTGGTTAATGGTGGTACAATATAATCTCTGCTTTAGCATAAGGTTTCTACAGTACTTTCCTTGATTCTTTACCAATCATAGTTTCAGAAAGTTGTTTGGCTCTTAATTAAAATGTAGACAACACTTGTATCACTGTATTTTATATAAAGTTTCTATGCATTTGAGAAAGCACAAGGGCTTTCCACTTAACTGTGTTCTCTAGGTTTCTCTGCCCACTCTCACTCTTACAACTCTTACCCTGTGGAGACCCAGTGTCCTTCAATTGTAGGAGGCATCTGTACGGTGATCCGAGCACCATTGTGGAGATGTTTGAGCATATGGTGGCACTGGGATTCCTTAAAGGCCCTCCAGGCACTCTTCTCTAAGGATCTTGGATGGGATCTGCTGTCTGGATGGAGGAGGGCAGAACCCTCTCCCAGCCCTGAAAAGGAAAAGTGAGAAGTTAGCCCATAAGAGAGTAAGTGGCAGACATGAGTCAGGTTGAAGAATGGCCTTTGGCAGCAATGAAATAGCTTCAAATTGGAAATGTACTCTTACTCCACCAGATGTTATTTATATTTGGTGTGACAGAATTCTTAAGTTGCAAGTGTCCTTGGAGATACAAAAACTGAGATCCACAGAGACAACAAACCTGACTTGCCTGAGGTTACTTGGTTCCAAAACCAAACTAAACTATCATCAAGTCAATTCAGACTCATAGCAACCTCCATTGGGTTTCTGAGGCTATAAATCTTTACAGAAGTAGGTCACCCTATCTTCATTCCACAAGAGCAACTGGTGGGTTTGAACCACTGACATTTTGGTTAGCAGCCAAATGCTTTATCCACTACTCCACCAAAGCTAACTCATGGTGGAGTCAGAACTCAAATCAATGCATCTGTGAAACAGCAAAAGGGTTGTGTATCTCAATGAGTACTTGTGTAATGTAGGTGTATCAATGCAATAGGGGTTGTAGAAGGGAGACATGGACATGTTCTAGAATCACCAAAGAGGAGGAGATGGGATTGAAGGAAATAGTGAGAAAGGAGTCATCAGGAAGGGTAGACATGTACAAAGGCACATTTAGATGAGGAAAGAGCAAGGAGACCACCATAGTGAAAATGGAGTCTGGGCAAAGGTGGTGTGGAGAAAGGCTCAGAGAACAGTCCAAAGACTCCAAACTGAGACCTACTCCTGCTAACACATATATCTTCTGGTTCTCAGTCTTCAGATGGATGCCTCTATAGGGCTGCTCATCAGCAGAGGGGTGAAGGGGCACCATATGCTTTCACTACAATTTGGGAAGGGTATAGTATTTTCCTTCCATTACTTTTTAAGTCAGGCTCCTCACCCTTACAAAAGCCAGTGACAAATTAAACATACAATATAAGGCTCAAAACTGAAAATGAATTACAAAAAAAGATTACATATTTTTATTTTCCCAAAACCAAACCAAACTCATTGCCATCAAGTTGGATCTGACTCATAATGACCCCTCCTTGGGTTCCCGAGGCAGTATCACTATGGAAGTAGATTGCCCAATCTTCTTTCCGAGGAGTGGCTGGTGGGTTTGAACCGCCAGCCTTCCTGTTAGCAGTCAAATGCCTTAGGCACTATACCACTAGAGCTCCCTTTTATTTTCCAGGGGTAGAGAAATACTAGGTCTAAGGTTATCTTCAGTATCACAAGGAATTTAGGTTGGCTAAAATTTACACATGTAAGACTACCATTAGCCTGCTGTTCAGAATAAGGCAATGGAAAAAATGGAATGTAGTATCACATTTACTGAAGCACTATTCACTACAGATAAAAAGTAGAAGCAACCTAAATTGTCCATCACCAGATGGATAGACAAAATGTGGTACATGCATACAATGGAATATGCAACATCTTAAAAGCATTATACTAAGCAAAATAAGTCAGTTATGAAAGAACAAATATTGTATGATGCCACTTATAAAATACACAAATAAACAGAGACCAAAGTTTATTGGTGGTTACCAGGGGTAGTAGGGAGGGGGGAAGGGGAAGTATTTGCTGCAAAAACATTGAGTTTCTATAAATAGTGATGGCATAAATTGGAAACAAACAGTGGTAATGGTTGCACAACATGAGGTAAATAATCAATGTCACATAATTGTATGTGCAAAATTTGTTAAATTGGAAAATGTTTTGTTATATATTCTTACCATAATAAAACAATAAAAAAGAAAAAAATGGAATTATAATCTGAAAATAATAAAACCAACAATATAATATAATCTTTAAAATTATAAAGAAAACAAAAATCCTCACAACTGGACCAAGGGGCAATATCATGATAAATGGAGCAAAGATTGAAGTTGTCAAGGATTTTATTTTACTTGGATTCACAATCAGTACCCGTGGAGGTGGCAGTCAAGAAATCAATGACATACAGCATTGGAAAAATTTGCTGCAAAAACCCTCTGTAAAGTGAAAAGACATCATTTTGCAAACTAACATGCACCTGACCCAAGCCATCAAATGTTGTGAGCTGGATAATGCATAAGGAAGACTGCAGAAAAAAGCGATGTATCTGAATTGTGCACAGAGTGAAGAATATTAAATACACTATGGACTGCCAGAAGAATGAACAAATCTGTCTTGGAAGAAGTACAGCCAGAATGTTCTTTAGAAGTGAGAATGGCCAGACTTCATCTTGATAACATACTTTGGTCATGTTATCAAGAGGGACCAGTCCCTGGAGAGAGATATCATGCTTGGTAAAGTGAAGGGTCAGTGAAAAAGGGGAGGAACCTCCATGAGGTAGACTGACACAATTGCTACAACCATAGACTCAAGCATAGCAACGACTGTGGAGATGATGGCGCAGGACCAGGCAGTGTTTTGTTCTATTGTATTGTTTTCTTTGGGAGTCACTCCTGAAGAAATTACAAATCAACAGGTCTCTTTTGTGGACCTACTATGTAATCAGCACTGTGTACAAAAAGTTAACTAATGTACAAAAATGAAAGGAAAAGAATATGCAAAATAAACAAAATGTACTTGTTAGAATGCTACTTATGGGAAGGCAATTATGTATTTTTTAATCAATACTTGAATAACTTTATATAGAAACCATGATTTATGAAAGAGCCTTTGATAATGAAAAGTTAGATCTAAATATAGTGACTTATGGAAACATAATGAAAACTTATCTAGATAAACTCAGACTCAAAGATTGATAACATTCAAATGTTTGTAAAATATCCAGGTATTTGCCATCATGTGGATAAAACATTCAGAAGATTGAACTAACTTTTTATCTAAAGTCTTTGGCATTAAGAAGACAGAATTTGAACTCTCAGGTTTTCCATTCAGTAAAATGTTGGCTTTTTGATGAAAAAATAGCTTCTGATTTGTTCTTGCAAATCTTATATCAAGTAAAAGTGAAAGACAATTAGGCAAAGACACCTGTAGGTGCCATTCAACTAATTTACTAAATTAAAATTTTGAAAACAGCTTCTAGAAACATGGTGATTATACTGTGTTCAACCTAAATGCAAACATTTAACCAAATTCATTTAACCAAGTGAACTGACTGACCTGAGCTAAACGAGGGGAACACTAAATATTAAAAGTCCATGTCTAGTGGTGTCATTATCAATGCTCATTTGGTTAAGAAAGAACCAGCTTTCCTGTGGTTACTTCTTTACATTAGAGAGAAGGCATTTCCACTACAGAAATATTCTGGGTATTCCCTCTTCACCCTTTATCCAGTCTTCCTCAGGGAAAACGTGTGAGTTATGAAGAAGGAACAAGTATGCTTCACTTAGTCGTATTTCTCTTTCTATTCTCAAAACAAGCTGGTTTACAAAATGTACATATTTTGATCTCTCTATCCTGTGGTAAGGTCCTGCCCTTTTAGTTGTTCTGCTGTGGCATTGAACTTGGTGGAAAGTCTGAAAAATTCAGGGTGAAAAATTTATGATAGCAATCCTATCATGGACACACAACTAAACTGGATCTTCCAATCAAGTATTTACCCCTATTCTAAAATTTTAATCCCTATTTGTCTGATACTTGTCTTGATCTCTCAGTTAACTTTTAACTAGTGTAGGGATGATTGGGCACTATCATTATAGCCACACCAAGACCGAGAGTTGTAATTATCTTGATGATTGCAATCATTTCTGAAATGTTTTTATTAGGTAATCAAGGAAAGACACAAACTACAGTCAACCATCTTGTGAGTCAGGTGCATCATATCAATTACAATGTGGTTAACTTGAAATTGATTTTAATTCAAGTCATAAGATATTGGAAGTTGAGGAAGATTTTGTCTTAAGTATAGCCTATTAAGCATTCAATAAAGATGCCATCATCTCAGCATCAACCAAGTTGTGTTCTAAAAATTGATCTGTAAACCTATTTACTCCTTGCAAAATGTTTTTCACATAACTGTTGTAAAAGCTAGGAAGGTAATGGATATGGATGAAACTGGATTTGAAACTAGATCTGCCACTTAAAGAATTTCATTGAATGTAAGACTTCAGTGATAAGCAATGATATGCATCATTATCTTATGCACCAGTGAAAAAACACTCCCATTTAAAGGTGACACATCCTTTGACAACAGTCCTAAGGCACATATGGATCATCCACAACAGCATCTGACTGCTTTGAAATTTCTTTTATCACTTCAAAGAGATTTGGCAATTTCTCTTGCCTTTAGCTGCACTGCCTGACCTGTGACAGGCAATCTGTTTGCTCTGTACGAATCTCAGAAACAAAACAAAAACCCAGCATCATCATCATGTGGGTATCTTCCTTTCCACGTAACTCACTGTTACTATATGAGAAAATAGGAATTGTGGTTACTCTTCTAGTGAGAAATATTTCTTCATTAATACCAAATTAACATTCCACTGCTCTGTTATGAGGCCCTTCTGCTTTTCACAATGCTTTTTATTTCCAATGCTGAGAATGTAACGCGTAAGTGAGTTAAGAAGAAACCAGGTATGTTCAACTCACATTTCATTCCATTTTCAAAACTGGCCTATTTGATATATATAAAACCTTGAAAGAGAAAAAATTTCAACCAAGAATCATATACCCGGCAAAATTGTCCCTCAAATATGATGGTGAAATTAGGACATTTC